CCATAGGTTAAACAGACTACATGAATAGATTGCCTACATGCAGAATTGTATTTACATTTTGTATACTGTTCACATTCTCCCTGTCAGGTTACACGGATTCCTCCACAAGTCCTGCCTTACCATGGTTAACCACTCCACAGTCAAATACATGTACAAAAAATGTACATGTACAGTATCCTATTCATTCTCTTTCTGAAATAGACTACACATTCATTATTGTAGCTGCGACCTCGGACAGTAGTATCTACTGAAGGGAAACATGAAATCTATATCTAGATTGAAGATGTGAAAAATGCTGATGTTTCTTTTTGTATATCACTGTGCAATGAATAGCTTATCATTCACATATCTCAGCAGTGGATTTTTTATTTTTTGACTGAAGCATAACATCGCAGGAACTGTATTTGTAATTGAAACGCTAGTCTCTTTATCCTTGTGCAATAAAAACTGTCTTCTTTGTAACTGTTGTGAGAAATTTACACAAAAGCAATGGCTTAAGCCTTAAGTTGCAGGATATATATTTTTATTCTAAATGGTCAACATATTCTAACTGGGACGCCATTGTCACACCAAACATCAGAGATGGGACATGCCTATGTGTTCACTGTCATGATCACACTTGGGTACATACTGAAATTACATTCTTCAGTTGAATTAACATGTAAACAAGAAAAACGTGTAGTGGGTATGGGATTGTAGAATTATTTGGCTCTTGACAATTCTTCCTGATGGTGACATCTGAATCCTGCATAGAGTTTCCATCCCTGGCAGTGGGGCTGCAAACTCTGAATCTGATAATGTGAGATATGGCTCGCTTCTTGACATACCGCAGGCTAGAAAGGAAGGCGAAATTATGATCAGTTTACATGAACCACATATATAAAACGACAGAGACCACGGAGAGCTGGTAAAGAAATAAAAATGGCAATTTTATCATGTCCAAACTGAAGCACCGGACCCATAACTACTTAAGCTAAGGTCCCAATTGGGAAAAGGGGCCCTGGCGGGTAGTTCCCGGGCTGTTTTTTACCACTTTCGGGCGGGACCCCGACGTGGCCCCGCGGGGCACTCTGCGGCTACCGGGCTATTTTTTGGCCCGTCGGGGCCCCGATAAGAATTTAATTCTGAGTTAAATTCTACCCGGGCCCCGCTGACAAAAAGACGCCGTGACCTCATCGTGAGAACACCGAGAGGTACCCCTCCGGTTGCCGGCATTCCACCGGGACACATTTCTTACGTCACAGACCAGATGAACAGAATAAAGGTGTGTACTTCGTAAACCCGGGTAAAAATGTGTGACCTCACAGATCAAATGATCACAACAAATACGTGAATTCTGCATTACGTATAGGTCAATACAAGACATCGTCAGAGAATCTGCTGGGTACCTGCCGGGTGCCTGCCGGATACCGACCAAAGAGGGTGACAAAATTTCTAACAAAATGCTACTGAAGGAAACTTTTAATTGTGACCACGACAGCCGATGCCCGCTCGACTCCTGAACCCGGCCGGGGCCAGCCGGGGCTACATCCCCGACGGGCACCGGCGTAATTGGGACCTTAGCTTAAGTACAGTACTTGTATCTAGTAATACTCGGCAGTGCACCAGGAAGTTACAGTTAGTCTTTATCATTTGATAGAAAAATTAGTAATGAACAACAGCTCCATCCCAAAAAGGTAACGTTAGGTACTGCATTTATATATATATTATTATGTAACGTTACCAGTATTCAGTATGCAGCACACAAATATACATAGCATAGAGCTGTCTGCCTGCAAGTGCAACTGGATTTATTTCAAAAAAGTACTGTTGGAAGGGCAGCTGTTGGAAGGGCAGCTGTTCTAGGTCGCTACTTTCGGCATCTTGATATGTCAAGAACAAAAAGTCTCATGAAAGTATGTGTGGACAATATTTTTGCACAACAAAAGGGGACCGACTTGAGTAACTCGGCAGCGTTTTCCGCCCCCCTCCCCCTTTATCGTCAACGAAAATGCACACGATCGTTCGAAACCAAGCGATAACAATACATGAATTAAGTCACTAAGTAGTCCTAATCATAGTCGGCAAAATCTCACTTTGTCTGTAAATGTTTCAGAAGAATTCGTACCGGAAAGCTCTGTGGACGCCAATTTTTAGCCCGGCCGCCACCTTCGCTTTACAACAACAAAATTTCGCTGTGCATCGTCCCGTATTTTGCCTCATAGCGGCCGAACGGTTTAATAGGGGTTCACAGGAGTTCAGTAAAGGTTTTTGGGAGTTTAACATACACAGTATACATTTTTATTCATGTCGTATAATGAACCCTCAAGGAAAATCCCGAATTAGACCACTGAAAATGGCACAAAATCGAGAAAATCGTATTATAAATGTTGCTTTAGGGCACCCACGAACCTTGTATATTTTACGGCACAAATATCGGAAAAAGGCGACGTACCTGTGTTCAGCGATAACCTGCCAGCGACGAAGGGATGTCCCCTCGACAGTTTGGCGCAACTCTGAACTTTCAAAATAATCCCATTGTAGAGAAATTTAACGAGATACTGGGGTAGAAAAATCGCTACCTAAATGTAAGTTTTGTAAAACCCAGCGTTCTGATTGGCCGGCGCGGTCACGTGGGAGGGTTCCACCACCGCCTGATAATATATGCGGCGCGTCCACTATACGCGCGGGTGCTTTTCGTCGATTTTAAAACTTATAACTCCGGGTTGCGTGGGCGGAAAGATGAAATTATACTGTAAGATCAACATTCTTACAATGTAAATAGGAATACCACACACGCCCCAAATAAAATGACACTAAAGTCTAAACAAGGCACAGCATTGCAAAAAGTGAATTCCCTAGGGGATGCATCGGCGGAATTTTTAGAATTCCTGGCACATCGATCGCAGTACTATACTAATGCTCCGTCCCCTGAGGACGTCGCAAAAAGGCTTAGACACGTCTATTTTAAGAACATATTCTAGCATGAACTGTTTCCTTTACTGTTTATTAACAACCTTTTACGTTCTACAATCGGTAAATGTCGCAAGATTGTTTCGCGTACTTGTATTAATATTATGTATAAGTACATAGACTTTAATGAAGATTTTGTAGTTGTTAAAATGAGATTTTTAGACCGGAGGCTTGCCAAGGTTCTCTATTATCTAATAAATCAAATTAATCCAACCTACTTTGTTTAACAGCCTTCTGTCCAGGACTGCAGCCTTCCGAACAGACACCATTCACTCTGTACTTGCAGGTGTGACACTGGCTACTGTTGGGACCCGTACATACTTGGGTCCCTTGGCTGCTCACATCTTGGCAGAAGCTATTGCACTCTGAAGATGTATAGAAAAAAATCATTCAGACATTTCAGTGATTGATTAAAATGCTGATGTATGAAATTCACAGAAAATTTGAGATGACGTTAACTAATTTCCTAATTGGTTAACGGATTCGCCCGCTTCGTTTTTTCTGATTTGCAAAAAAAAAATCATTATCAACTGCAAAATGCTCATATTTTGCCCTGAACAGTTAAAAACAGCCCTTTTCTTCCTAGTTGTTACAGTTACTCCATCTTTCAATACAGTGGTATCATTAAACGTTCAAAATGCATCGTTTAAATTTAGAACCAACCTGGTGTGCTGACTTCATGGTTCCTATCATACCATTTCGGGCCATAATAGGATGCCTGGGCCTGTTTTTACTTTTTTTTCGCCCGCCCGCTCCATTATTTGTCTAGAAAAATCCGTTAACCAAGAAATTAAATTGGTGTGACCAAAACTATGTTGTAATATTTACTACTGTAACAACCATTATCTAATTAATGGCTAGATAATCTGGCCTGGTTACCAAAACTATTTTAGCTGCCGATTCTGTCGCTGGGAGAGGACGAACAAAACTCTGCAGCTAAAATAGGTTTGATAACCAGGCTAAAATACTCAATAAGGCCATGTTGAGTTGATTACATGGATGACATCCTCGTGCGCATGAATTTTTGTCCGTTTCCATAAAAAAAAATTCGACCATACTGTAAATCCTACAAAATATGTGCAATATGCGCATTTATACCGTAGGTTGCAAAAAAAAATCGGAAAACTATACCAATGTCGAAAAATGCCAAAATCAAACGAAAAAGACGAAAATTTAAAGAAATGAATTTGAGGAGTAGATTATTCATCATACCATACTCCGTGTCATTTGTTCAACCTTCATGACCACGTAGATTTCATAATGAATCCAACATTTTTTTTGCCAAACTTTTTTTTTTCATTCGCACGCTCGCATCAGTTTTCGGGTTCCCAGAGGCTGTCATCCATATAATCAAACTTACATGGCCTAATAATCAAGTTCTTACTTTTGCAGGCGCCTCCAACAAGATAGTGAGTGAGCGGACAGACGGCCACACAAGCCACTAGGCCTCCTTCCCTGCTGCCCTCCAATTTGATTTTGCCTGGAAAAACATCGGGGGTTTGGGTTTACATGATTTATCATCATCATCATCATTCATCCTCCGTAGAGGTGGAGCATACAAAGTTAGTTCGCCACAACTGTCTGTCATACATCACTGAGAAAAGTTCATGTCCCTCCAAGCCAGTTTCAGTTTCAATAAGTTTCTTAACTGTTATGTTTGGGCGTCCAACTCTTCTCTTACAGGTATCAGGGTTCCAGAGTAGAAGCCTACTGGCTGGTTCTTCACTACGTATTACATGACCGGCCAAGCTTAGTCGTCGACATTTGACTACTGAAGTTACATTTGGTAGCGAACCGTATAACTGTTCATTAGTAGTGTGTTTCCACCATGGTGTATTGAAAACCACTCGCAACATCTTCGTGTATGTTCCGTTTAGTTTTCTAGAATGTGACATATTCATGACCCATGATTCTGACCCATACAAAAGAATTGTTTCAATACATGCCTTAAACACTTTGATCTTAGTTTGTTTTCTAATGGGCGCTTTCCAAATCTTATGTAATTTGGACACATGATTTATAACGTTTTCATATTTTTTGTGTGTGGGGTGGGGTGGGGGGTAAATTGGTGGGTGGTTAAGGAATTGTATGAAGTCTAATCTAATCGGGTATTACACTTCCTGAATTTCTCCAATTCCACCCACGTACTCACTGTGACATGCTTGATCGCTTTATCAGTCAACTGTCAAAATTGTGTGACTTAGACTAATCACACTATTTTGATAGAAAATAGTGACTTAGTGTGGCGTCGGGTGGTGTAGTGGTTAGGGCAATCGACTATGAACCGAGGAGACCCGGGTTCGATTCCGAGTCGTACCCGGTACATGTCTGAACATGCGCCTCGACGTTGTGCCCTTGGGAAAGGCACTTAACACGACTTCCCTCACTCCACCCAGGTGTGAATGAGTACCTAACTTCGGTTGGGGAAAGTCGTATTGAGGTCACCTGGTGGCGCCGAATGTAAGCCACACAGACCCTTGCGACAGTTCCACGAATATAATTGTGGAGCAAATATGTTAAATCATGTGTATTATTTGATTGTTGTAATTGTTGTGATTTGTACTGATTATTATGTAAAAAAAATCACCCCCCCCCAACCTTGGAACACAAACTCACAAGTACAGCCACCCAAAACAATAATTCAGTACCGGGAAGCAAAAAGTCAGTGTACGAGAGTTTACAAGACTTACAAATGCACTTGTTAGTGTCTGCCAGTAGCTTCATGTGCTCTGGACAGGCAGGCACACATTTAGAAAAGCCGGGACCTCCGTCTATGTACGGGTAGGCTACGCTGAAGTGACGGCAGGCGATGCAGTCTGTCGGCGAGTCGGATCCAGTCGTTCGACAACCTGTACAAAAATACAGTAAAAATCATAAAAATCCACTTTTCACTTCACTATTTTTTTATCTATCACTTTTATTTTTGTGAATTGTACATTTGAATATCTAAAAGGACTCAAAACTTAAAGTACTTAAAAGTATTTATGTCAAAATGTTAGCACTTACTAATATTTCAACAGTGCTTTCTCTACCAGTACTGTTTTTCTGAATACCAAGTCACCTGTGTATTTAGGGGATGAAACCATGTTTGCTATTGGAATAATTTTTAACGTTTCTCAAAAGTAATGCTTTCTGTTGGAGCAAAAATAGTTCACGCGTTCTTCGGACTAGCGGTAACGGCTTTTGATGTTGAAAAATCAGTCAAGATATTGAAAAATCTACTGGATATGTCTTTTATAAAAATGGTCCTTCGTGCCAGATTAAGTTGAATGCTAGGCCATCTTGATTTAATTACATATATGACATCCTCCGGGAGCCCCAAAACTGATGCGCGCGTGCGAATAAAAAAAAATTTGCAAAAAAAAAAGTTCTTTTCATTATGAAATCTACGTGGTCATGAGGGTTGAGCAAATGGCACAGAATATGGTTTGGCGAATAATCTAGTCTTCAAGTTCATTTCTTTACAATTTCGTCTTTTTTCGTTGATTTTGGCATTCTACGACATTGGTATAGTTTTTATTAATTTTTTTATGTAACTTATGGTATATTTTTGCTCATTTTGCAACTGCTTTGTACGATTTACAGTATGGTTGAAAACGTTTTTTTTTGGAAACGGCCGAAAATTCATGCGCGNACAAAATAAACTTTATTCAATGTGTTTCAAGTACTACTAGAACTGTGTGAAGTTTAGTTGTGGTGCGACCAAGCTATCAAAACTTACAGGTATATGTATGAAATACTACTCATAGTTGCTATAGGCTGCCTTAACCAAACCGAGTAGTCAACTGTCAAAATCACCCCCCCCCATCCTCCATCCAACCTTGGAACACAAACTCACAAGTACAGCCACCCAAAACAATATTTCAGTACCGGGAAGCAAAAAGTCAGTGTACAAGAGTTTACAAGACTTACAAATGCACTTGTTAGTGTCTGCCAGTAGCTTCATGTGCTCTGGACAGGCAGGCACCACATTTAGAAAAAGCCGGGACCTCCGTCTATGTACGGGTAGGCTACGCTGAAGTGACGGCAGGCGATGCAGTCTGTCGGCGAGTCGGATCCAGTCGTTCGACAACCTGTACAAAAATACAGTAAAAAATCATAAAAATCCACTTTTCACTTCACTATTTTTTATCTATTCACTTTTATTTTTGTGAATTGTACATTTGAATATCTAAAAGGACTCAAAACTTAAAGTACTTATTTATGTCAAAATGTTAGCACTACTAATATTTCAACAGTGCTTTCTATACCAGTACTATGTTTCTGAATACCAAGTCACCGGTGTATTTAGGGGATGAAACCATGTTTGCTATTGGAATAATTTTTAACGTTTCTCAAAAGTAATGCTTTCTGTTGGAGCCAAAATAGTTCACGCGTTCTTCGGACTAGCGGTAACGGCTTTTGATGTTGAAAAATCAGTCAAGATATTGAAAAATCTACTGGATATGTCTTTTATAAAAATGGTCCTTCGTGCCAGATTAAGTTGAATGTTAGGCCATCTTGATTTAATTACATATATGACATCCTCCGGGAGCCCCAAAACTGATGCGCGCGTGCGAATAAAAAAAAAAATTTGCAAAAAAAAAAGTTCTTTTCATTATGAAATCTACGTGGTCATGAGGGTTGAGCAAATGGCACAGAATATGGTTTGGCGAATAATCTAGTCTTCAAGTTCATTTCTTTACAATTTCGTCTTTTTTCGTTTGATTTTGGCATTCTACGACATTGGTATAATTTTTATTAATTTTTTTGTATGTAACTTATGGTATATTTTTGCTCATTTTGCAACTGTTTTGTACGATTTACAGTATGGTTGAAAACGTTTTTTTTTGGAAACGGCCGAAAATTCATGCGCGCGCGGATGTCATCCATATAATCAAATCAACATGGCCTTATATCAACAATATTGCACAGTTGTATGATGTAATACACGATGAAATTACATCTTATAACGATCTCCACAGAGTGTAAACATTACTGTCTCTTTCTGCGTTTCTATGTGATTTTCACTGCTTGAGACGTTTTTGCCTTACCGTCACATTCTTGATGACACCGCTGTTTGCATCTCCCGTCGTGCTTTTCGGTCCCCTCTCGGCAGACGATGAAGTCCTGCGCTGGTTGGTCCACCAGGGACACGCCCATGACCTTGACCGGGTACATACCGCTGCCAAACGCGTAATAATGCAGAGACAGGATGCTGTTATACCGGAAGTCAAGCCAGATATGGGGCCGTTCCTGGTGTGGAAAAGAAAAGGTACTCATGTTATGTTGAGGTCACATTTCCAAACCGGGGCCCGGCCGGGCAGTCTTATGGAACGAAAAGTATGATATAAAAGACAACAAAGCACCAAAAAGTTGAAAAAAAATCAATAATGGGAACTATTTACGTACATTATTGATATAGATTGTTAATTTGTCCTTAATCTAAACATCCCGGCCGGGCCCCGGTTTGGAAATGTGACCTCAGCATTAGCGAATTTTGGTGTGTATTTGCACGCGGGACTAGTGAAAATAGTGTGTGGGCAAACCCGCGTTCTACTATATTTCAGAAATCTGATTACTAGTAGAGGAAGGAATTACTACACTTATTAATACCCAACCTCCCGCTGCATTACCTAGGAAAGCCGCCAGGAGGCAGAAAATCTGATAATTTTAAGGTTGAGCCACACCCTACCAATGCATTGACTAAGATACATGCCTTCAGCTATATGCCTTCTGCCGTTCTTGAGTTATCTTGGCGACAGATATACCTCCACAAAGGCTATCAGAAATATAACTTCCAGTTAGGCCACACCGACTTAATTTGATGGATGACATCATCTGAAGACCCCCAAACTATTGCGCGCGGGCGAGTAAAAAAAAATTCCGGCCAAAAATAAAAGTGCTAAGAAACCACAGGGATACAAAGCAGGTATTGTGAATTTGCGGCAGTACATAACAACGTATACGACGAGTCGGCACACGCTGGCTTTTTGCGGAATGTATGAATCGGCACGAGTTCTTGCCGTCGTTCGGTAGCCTGGGCGCCATCCGATCCGTAGTAACACTAACTACCATGGACTAACTACCATGTCCTAGTCTAGAGGCCTAGAGCCTCGGAGGACGTGATTTTTTTTTTGAGAACAGGCGAAAATCAATGCGCGCGCGGATGTCATCCATAAAATTAAGGCGGTGTGGCCTTAGCAGCAGGTAACGCGCACATGACGTGTAATGCATTCGTTGCATGACAGAGGGCGCTGTTTGTCATCATCAGCTCACCTCATTGTCAGGCGTCTTGCCGTACTGAACTGATGTTGCCCCGCTCACGGTGTCTTCTGTCACGCAGACGAAGTACGACTGGTACAGGTTGGACGATCCCAGGCTACTGGCGCCCTTCTCCAGCTGTGTTGTTTCCAATCGCATGGCCTGTAGGGAAATTGTCATCCAATCAGCGCTATTGTATAATTGGTTCATGTCCAAGTAGCGGCGGTCACGTGATTGGGGGTGGTTTTGGCAGTTGACTGACGGGGAGGTCATGTCTGATAGTGACAGCACGTCGGCAGAACGTAATGCTCCTGCGCAGAACCCCGTATTTTCGCGTTTTTCGTTGGGTTTTTGGTCAACGTTGCATCAGAATTTTGCCTGTTGCAGAGGATACTCTTTCCGTTTCCGACTCAACATTTGGAAACTACTGTCGAAATGCGAACCTTATATGAGCGAATACAACCTCATATGAGACATTCTGCCGAAATGCTCTGTACAATACATTACGGGTTTCGCGCAGGTGCAGTACGTTCTGCCGACGTGCTGATAGTGACCCATTACACGCGGGTTAGGAGTATGTTGAAGATAATTCAGGAAGGGAGGGTTATGCCCGATTTAATCACATCATACAACCTCCCCACAGTTCTGACACATTCCTGAAAACCTGCAACACTTCCGGAAAGTCTGAAATCTCCAATTTCTTTGTTTTCTTTTTTACATAAACATTACAATTGGGCTTAAGGTATGGAATATATTCATTGTTTGAAGCACAAGATATCTGCATAAAATGTCCATTTTTCTACTTCAATCCTCTAATTTCTCGGTTAATGAATATCACCAGGACTCATTACATCCGCCTTACCTTGTATAGAGCCACGCCCTCTGGCGATATTTGTATGTACAACCACGTCTCGTAGTTGCGAGGGATGCCGGCAAACACCACGAAGATGTCTCCCTCTGAGGCGGCGGTGAAGTGGATACACTTCCCTCCGTCGGTTGGGTCGATCCGGTGGGCGTTGGACCACTTGATGTTGCAAGGGGCGTCTCCATTCGTCTCCCTTGACAGAGCAAAAACAAGTAAAATCTGAGATTTTATACCTCCGGGCTTTTTATTGTATATTCTTATATGTTGTTTGTTATGAATAGTTGATGGTGTTAACTTTTATCTGTTAGGACACCCCTCTGTGCGAAAGGTCATACAAGTGGACCCGACCAAGAATACTTCAAACACACCAAAGGTCAACGGTCGCGACCACTTTCACGCTCAAAGGGGTGTTCTGGGGCCACCAAAAGGCACAATTTTCACGCCCGAAAACACATATACAATAAAAACAAAAGAACGTGCATCATCTACAGCCCAATAGCAAAACATATACCGAGTCCCAAAAGAATCCGTCCACCCAAAGGCGAGAAACGGCTGCGAACATGAAAATCTAAATCTCTCACAAAGCCCTTCCGCGGAAGGATATCTCCTCCCCCGGAGGCAATTAAGGACGCATCAGCAGCAGTATTGTAGCTGTAATTTGGGCCCAATAAATGTAGCAGGGCGTTGACAGGTGAGAATTCTTCGATTGGTCCAAAACAATCGCGTTTTTCAAAAGATCTGTATTCGTATTCAATTTTAGACTGATGTTTTAATTTCTAATATATGCGCTGCTACTGGGACTTTAACCTCTAGACCGTTGCTGAATGTCACTAAGCAGTTCAACCAATGATAGCACGGCAATTAGTGGTCCGACCAATGAGACAGTGACTTCATGTCCCTCAGATGGTTTTGCCATGGGGGTCCTTGAGGTTTTATGATTCGTCTATATAAAGACCAATCCTCTAGATTCTATAGTCTTCAGTGTTATTCTGCATTCCAGACGCTCCTAATGGGTTATGGCAACGGGGAAGCAAGTTACTGAATATCGGGTAATTAAGACGGCACTCACGTTTTCTGGTTGCTCAGGTGTTTCAGCAGTGACTTGTACTCCACCCTCGCTACAGCCCGCCCTTTGACCCAGTCGGGAAGCCCGGGAACGGCTTGTTTGGACGCTTCGAAGTCGGTATCGCCCACCGTCAGAATCCCTGTTTCCCCGTCGTAGGTCAGCACCAGACCCTGGACACTAACCTGTAAAGTGTATGATGTGGTACCAGTATCAGCATTTGCATATTAGCTAGCTAGAGGTAAATCCTGCTAAATGATCTTGATTTTAATATAGATGCGTATATGCGAGTGAGTGAGTGAGTGAGTGAGCGAGTGAGTGAGTGAGTGAGTATAAAGACCCGGCCACAAAAAGAGGGCTATTGTAGCATTTGCTAATAGATTATGTAAATGTACCCTGATTAGTATGGTTCATGTATAGTAACGTCCGACATCTCCTTTGAAACACATACCTATAAAAGACTGACTCGGTGCAGAAAAAAAAACTGCATGATCTTGCACATACTAGCTGACGACATGCATAACTACATAATCAGTGCAGCAAAGGGAGGCTCGGTGTAAGTTACAGTAGTAAAACGTACGATCACAACACACCACGGTACTTCGTCGGTCGTCACTTACCTCCATCGCGGAGTAATAAAAGAATGAATAGAGCCAAATGATAACCAAGATTTCCACGGCAGATGCTCTGCTGAACTTCACTCCCTTGTACCCCCACTCAGAACATTCTATGCAAGAACACGCTTAGCCACCTTAACAGCAGAAAATCACCCTTTCTTCCTCAATAGTTCATCAGTGAAGAGAAAATTTCATGCTGACAGTTTCTTCCCCAGAACCACTTCACTGTGGAACAAGCTTCCCCGTGAATGTTTCACCGCTAATTACAACCTCCAACGGTTTAAATCAAAGGTGAACAAATATCTGACCACGCAGTCATCACTGTAACCCAAAACATGTAAGTGGCTCTCACGAGCCTTGTTTTGAGGTGAATCTGAAGTAAAGAAAAAAGAAAAAAAAATCCATCTCAATTGCTTTCGTTTCAGTCATACCTTGTTCCCGTTGACATCGTTGCTGTTTCCATTGTTGTAGCCGTCGTACAGATGCGGGATATTACCAGTCCTGACAGAGTACCACTTGTTGTCGTGAAACTTGAGCGTGAGGATCTCCCGGGCCTGCAGGATGCTGGCGATGTCGTACGGCATGTCGAAGATGACGGTGGACTCCGCCCCGCTGACCAGCTCGGCCCAGGTCGGCGCGCCACTGTGACTGTCGTCCAGGTACGCCAGGGTGGCGGTCTCACACCCAGGCTCTCCGGCTGGGAGGAGGAAGTCTGTACTCAGGAGAGGACCCTGGAAAACGAAAACATTTCTTTTTATGTTTACCGAAGAAAATCTTCTTCTTCTTCGTCTCCAAACAGTGACCTCTGGCCTGACCAATGACATGATTTGTTGACGTCTGTTACCATGGTGGCTGGTATTGGGTTACATAATGTTGCAATTTCACGGTCTGCTCTGCTCCTGTCACCCGGGCTCTCCGGCTGGGAGGAGGAAGTCCGTACTCAGGAGAGGACCCTGAAAAACATTTCTTTTATTGAAGACTTCCAGTATTACTAGCCTCTAGTTTGCCGGCAAACTGTAAACTGGATGGCTAAACTCCCTCGGCGTGTTGTGTCTCTATTTGGCCAATTTCTACTATTTCCAGCCGCGCCCTCAAGCCTGGTAGAGGTTACAGTATTACGTGAGTACTGGTTTGAAGGGTTACTAAGAAGAGACAAGAAATGGTTTAAAAAAAAAACTGGATTGGGGTCAAGATGGGGAGAGCTGGTTGGGTGGCGTGAGTGTGCTGACGATGTTTGACTCAATTAATTGGTAAACTTTGTGATTTGAATTGGACTGATATACATGTATAATGGGCCCTTTCTAACGGAGAAGTGTTGTAATTATTTATTAGCGGTAACTTGGGGTAAAGAGTCGCGTCACTTCTTTTTTTTTCAACTTTTCGACGTGACAGAGACATAGACAAAGGAAGGGGAATAGAAAAAGGATGTGCCGAGCTACCCACGACAGGTTACTGTCCAAGTGCTCCCACCAACCCACTCCTGCCAACTTGACACATCAAAATGAA